TTCCTTCCTTCCTTCCTATCACTTCTCTGTTAAGGTCATTCTCATGGCTTCATCTTTCACATTCATGCAGGTGACAGGTAGTCCTGGGTCTCTTCTGTGCCTTTCTAGTTGTAGGATCTTGGGTAAGTTACTTCATTTCTTTAAATACCAGTTTCCTCATCTGTCACGCAGGGATACTAGATAGTAACAGCTACTGTGTTAGTGTTGTAAGTGTTAACAGGGAATAACAGGGCAGAGTGTTTGTATATGGTAGTGTCAGGTAGCAAGCCCTTGCTGGCTGTTAGCTGTAGCTGTTGTGTATTATTCCTGAATCTTCCTGACACACGTGTGTCTCATCTGTCCTCCAATGCTTTGGGTGTGTTACGAAGCAAACATCTCAAAATGTAATTGCCTGACCTAAACATGTGGTTATTTCTCATTCCATGGATTGACTGGTTCAGCAGGATGGTTCTTCTGCTAGTACTTTGGGATTTCTCATACAGCTACAGACACATGGTGGCTGGGACAGGACTCTCTCAAATGGCTCCATGTGCCTATCTGCCATCCTGGGTGCCTGAGACTCTCTTTCTCCCTGTGGTCTCCCCCTGAGACTAGCTTGGGCCTCTTTACATAATGGCTGGATCTCAAGAGCAGAGGTACAAACTCCAGTGTCGAAGCACTGTTTACATCATGTTTGCTAATCTCCATTGATCAAATTCAGTCAACGTGGCCCAAGATTAGAGTCAATATGGGAGGAGTTACACGAGGTGTGACCGACAAGAGGCCTGGTTGACTAGAACCACCAAAATATATCTACCACATCCAGGGCCCAAGTTCCTACTGTCTGGAAAATACCTTCATGTGAACGTTGCTCTGTGAACTTGAATCTACTAACTTCACTTCCAATCAAATGAGCAGTTCATTGTTCTCTCTGATGAGCTTGGAGCTGGTACTGGGCCATAAATTCCATCAATTTCCTCCCCAGATTATTCTACATCAGTTTTCATATTTCTAAGTGGAAAACCTAAACACAACTTATTTCTCCTTCTTGTTTGTTTGTTTTGTTTTAAAAACCCAAGTCCAGCCCAGCTGGTTTAGCTCAGTGGTTGAGCTTTGACCCATGAACCAAGAGGTTTGATTCCTGGTCAGGGCTCATGCCCAGGTTGTGGGCTCGATCCCCAGTAGGGGGGCGTGCAGGAGGTGTTTCTCGTCAATGTTTCTATCTCTCCTTGTCCCTTCTTCTTTGTCTAAAATCACTAAAAACACATTAAAAACAAAAAAGAAACAATCCAAATCCAGATTTCATGAAACCCTGGTGTTTATTCCTTGGTTCTGTACCCTCAACGCCACCCTGAGAGTCCATGTCCTTATTATCTTACACATGAACACCTGCAATACCTTTCAGATACGTTTTCTTTAAACGCCATTTTCAGTCTGATGCATTTCTTTTCAAGAATGCGCAGTCTACTCATAGTTCTTACTGCATGAAACCTAACCTTCCTGCTTGTGTTTCTGAGGCTTTTATTTATTGACCCTACTCCACTATCATATATTACCCACCCTCCAGAATCAGAGCACGAGGAGAGAAGGTACCTAATCCGCTGAGTCTAAGTCCTTCTACATTGCAAATGTCTTAGAACACAGAGGGAACGGAGGAGCCAAAGTGGCTGCAGGGCACAAATCCCGAAGAAGAGATGTAGAGTGGAAGGGGTTGGTTGTTGCTACTTGTGTTTTCAAGAATTAGGTAGGTGGTGAGAGGACTTGGATGTTTCAGTGGGATAGAAATTAGATCCCTTTAATGGAATCCCTCAATTTTTAAAAATCTTGAATTGTCTTTTGTTCGTTGCACTGCTCCTGATTCAGTTGGCTAACACATCCACACAGTCTGGTTTCACTGTTATGGGCGGTGTGGGGACTATGTTCTAGTGCCCTGCTCCCCGCTCAGGGGGTGCCTCACAGTGTTGGTTAGATGAAGAAAAGAAGCAAAACTTAAGTTAAATTCATCCTTTTTATAAACAAAAATGGATCACATCAAGAGAGTCAAATAAAAGGATGCATGATCCTATGTATGAAATGGAGATACAGAACGCAGGTTCATGAATTATTTTTTTATGACATTTGCTAGACACTCAGCAGAGGGTGGGATGACTGAGGGCCTAGCTGGTCACACCACACAGTGAGCAGACCTGATTCTTCTGTGGATGGAGCATACAGAATGCGTTAGGAATTTGGGAAGGACATTGGATGACTAGCTTCCTGTTCATGTGAGGAGACAGCCTGTTAAACTGACAGACACAGGAAGGCATTCACTCTGGAAGTGTAAGGGCATATGCTGAGATTCACTCCGGAAGTGTAAGGGCATATGCTGAGATTCACTCTGGAAGTGTAAGGGCATATGCTGAGATTCACTCTGGAAGTGTAAGGGCATATGCTGAGATTCACTCTGGAAATGTAAGGGCATATGCTGAGATTCACTCCGGAAGTGTAAGGGCATATGCTGAGATTCACTCCGGAAATGTAAGGGCATATGCTGAGATTCACTCCGGAAATGTAAGGGCATATGCTGAGATTCACTCTGGAAGTGTAAGGGCATATGCTGAGATTCACTCCGGAAGTGTAAGGGCATATGCTGAGATTCACTCTGGAAGTGTAAGGGCATATGCTGAGATTCACTCTGGAAGTGTAAGGGCATATGCTGAGATTCACTCCGGAAGTGTAAGGGCATATGCTGAGATTCACTCCGGAAGTGTAAGGGCATACATATGCTGAGATTCCCAGGCATGGTTTTGATGCTGTTCATTTCCATTCCAAAGGCATTGTCTCTTTGTGGGACCTGTGGCAGTGCGCAGCCTCAGCATTTGGGATACTCTGTAAGGAAACAGCAGGCATTTTCAAAGAATCTCCCACCCCACCAGCTTCCAGCCCCAGTGTCAGGTGCCCTATTTTAAAGAACTGAACTCCGAGTGGTCCACGTAGCTTTATTAACTTGGACTTCACCGCAGCTGCGTTCTGGGCTAGAGCTGTGATCCCGTCTTACTGAGACCTGTTTTATCCCCTTGGATTCTCAGCACAGCGGAGGGCAGTCCCTGCTCCTTCCTGGCGACTTGGAGGCGGAGGAGCTGGTTCCAGCCTCCCGGAGCCAGGCGGCTCTGCCACGCAGGGTGCCCGGAGGGAGAGTTTTCCTTGGGAGGGCCTCCTCAGGAGTCTTGGACATGGGCCTTGGGCTCTTGGCTGGAACCAGGGTTTTCCAGAGCGGAGGCTGCAGTAATGCTCGTCATTGATTGAGGGACATGCTGTCCGGCTATTTTCATGAGAGTCAAGCAAAAACCGCTCTTGTCTTCAGCCGGCTCCGAAAGGTCTTTTCCTAACGATTTCCCCAGTCAAATCGAATGACCAAGAGAGTGCAGCTCAATGGCTAGAACACTGGGCAGCTGCCCTCCCCCTTCCCAGTGTTCACACTTGCGGCTCTGTTTTCTGTTCTGGAGCTGCCTGAATTGTGCGATTTTTGTAGATGAATGTGAACTCTTCGATCCAGAGGGAAGTGCAGGGAACACAAACAGCCTGTTGAGTTGGCATTCACCCCCAGGGTTCAGTGCGCCGCCAACCAAGCTGGTTGCCACGGGGAGAGAAAACTCAGGCTCTCGCAGGCATCCAAGAAGCATTGCAAAAGGACAGAAAGAAGTGGCAACAGGAGGCTGCAGTCAGGCCACCCTCCATCGCTTGGGCATGTTGGATGCTTGCTTGAGGCAGCTTATGTTTTGCTTGTTAATATTGATCTGAGCTGCTTCTCCTTTCAGGGTATTCCAGCCAGATTTCCATCACATACTGTGTGTGTGTGTGTGTGTGTGTGTGTGTGTGTGTGTGTGTGAGAGAGAGAGAGAGAGAGAGAGAGAGAGAGAGAGAGAGAGAGATTGAGATTAAATCTCTGCCCTGGGCTGGTGCTGAGTGGTGGCAGCCCCAGGAGCTGGGGTATGTGTTCTGCAGCTGAGCACAGAGCCCACTGTCCCCTGCCCCTCTGGGTCCTGTCCTTAAGCTGCCCCACGCTGCATGAACCTGGCATGGCCCCTGTAGGCCTTGGAGCTTGTTACCCAACTTTTCGCACAAGAATCTCCCCAAGTTCCTTGAATGCTGAAGTCCATTTACTCTGAGACAAACCAAAGGGGTGGGTAAGGATGCTTCTAGAATTGATTTGTACATAGAACTGAGATGTAGAAGCCTCGGGAGTTGTTTTCCAGTGAAAGCATTTCTCAGCTTCTAGCAGTGGCCAGCCCTGACTGAAGGTCAGGCGTCCCACAGTTTGTTCCGTACCAGGATGTGACTCCCTCCCAGGCCTGTCTGCATTGCTCTCCGCAGACAACAGAGCAACCCTCTCACACCTGGGGCTCCCACCTCCAGTCCAAGATGCTCAAGATTTCTCCTAAGTGGCACAGACTCCTGCCCGAGGGGCTGGAGGGCCTGTTTATCCAGTAAACAGTGTAAGAAATACAGAGAAATGGGCAGTGATCACATGTTCTGGGGGCACCGGAGCAGTTCTGGAGTTGTTTGCTAGTGGAAAACATAACACCCTATAGACATTCAGCCATCTGAGGCACAAAAAAATCTTTTTCTTGTCTTTACATAACCCCCTTCCACCACCTAATTCTTCAATAATGCGACAAACAGGTGCAGAAGTGATACTGCAGCTTCATCCTTCTCTCCTCTGCGCCCATGCCCTCGCCTTCTAGTGGACGCGTTCCGAGGCTGCCTTGGAAACTGAAGTTACAGTAAAAATATTACCCAGAGCAGTCTGTCTTCTTTACATTCGTTGGTTTGTATTCTTTTCTCTCCAAAAATTCTGTGTCTCTCAAACATGTATTTCAAACGTCAGTTAGTAAACTAGGTCAGATTTTGAACGTCAGTTGGCTGACATTTTGTAATTAATTTTTTAAAGTTTGAGGTAATTGAGGGTCACATGCAATTGTGAGAAGTAATACAGAGAGATCCCGCTGACCTTCTCCCCAGTTGTAACATCTTGCAATCCTATGGCATCACATCACAGCCAGGGTGTCGACAGCGACACAGGCGAGGTACAGAACTGCCACCGCCAGGGCCGCTGGGCTGCCCTTCCATAGCCACATCATCCCCCCATCGCCCCCTCTGGCACCCACCAATCTGGTCTCCATTTCTATGATTCCATGGCCGACTTATTTATAGAAACATTTGTCCAGCGGCTGGTCTCTGGGAAGAAAAGGCCGTTTAACACTGTACAGAGCTCATGACGCCTGTGGGTGGAAGCTGGTATTTACAGATGGCCTGCGCTCCCTGTTGCTTTGTGGTAACAATGCGGGGTCCCGAGGCCCAGGCAACCGAGTGTCAGCATCGCAGCTATCCTTGCCAGAAAATGCCCCGCCAAGGGCTGCGGGAATTTTCCCGCCTGAACGACAGGATCCCCATGAGGCAGGCCAAGAAGTGCCCTCTGGGGCAGAGCCTTTCTGGCCTCGGCCTGACACTGGAGAGTCCGATGCATCTGGAGCCCTGGCAGCTGCAGAAAGAGTGAGGCAGGTGTTTTCTCTACCTGTCAACCTGCTGTGATGCTCCTGCGGAGTGTTTCCTTTTCTCTCTGTCTTGAAGTTCTGTTTCCCCGTGTGCAGCTCTGCCCTGACCTTGTGTTGCCCCTGGAGCGTCTGGAACATCACACGATGCCAAATGTCTTTCTCTCTTTCTTGCTCTCGGTCTAATTAGCGGATGCTACCATAGATGTAGAAACCTTTGCCATTCTTAAACAGCAGCTGCGTTAGAAGGACCAGGAATCGTCTGATGTCCTCAGTATTCGGCTGTCACACTTGCTCTGGTCTGCAGCTCAGGCAGCCCAAACGTGCATTTGGGGACTTGACGTATGAAATCCGGAAGAGGTTGTATTGGAGGAAACTGATTTCTGTAAGTTTTTACGGATTGGAATTGCTTGTAACAGCTCTGTCTTTGGCATAAATCAGCAGTACATTTTCAATTTTTTTTAAATTGCAGAAATTAAATGTTATGACTTAGGTGTGTAATAATTATGGCAAGAAAATTTGCATTTCAGACATATTATATTACAGTTATTTATATTTAAACTATTTTAGCCCAGCCGGTGTGGTTCAGTGGTTGAGCATCGACCTATGAACCAGGAAGTCACAGTTTGATTCCTGGTCAGGGCACATGCCTGGGTTGCGGGCTGGATCCTCAATAGGCAGCCAGTCAATGATTCGCTCTCATCATTGATGTTGCTGTCGCTCTTTCCCTCCCTCCCCCTCTTTTCCTCTCTGAAATCAATAAAAAAACATTTTTTAAAAAAGAGAATAATTTTAGATTTACAGAAGAATTGCAAAGATTTTCAGAGCGTTTCCGTCCCCTTCACCCAGCTTTCCCAGAGCTTAGCTTCTTACATAATGGCACTTTGTTTTGGCGTGTTGGTCAAAACTAAAAAACAAAAACAACTAATACTGGTACATTACTGTTAACTACAGACTTTATTTGGATTTCGCCACCTTTTCCACTAATGTCCTTTTCTATCCCAGGATCCAATCCAGAACATCACATTGCATTTAGTCTCTTGATATTTAATGTAGAAAACTACCATCTGCAGAGAATAACAATTTTGTCCATCAGTTTCCAAATCTGTGTGTATGCAGCTCTCAGGTGTGTGTATAGAGACCTTCCTGCAGGGGCCTGGGCTGACCACTCTGTGCCAGGCTCTCACTCCGTAAATGCTGGTGCTCCCAGGAGCCTGTCCTTTGCTCTTGAATTTGCGTCTGCGACACACTCCGCAGCCATTGTGCACCTCCCTGGTGGGTTAGGTGCAGCCTGTGTGCCCAAGGCAGCCAGTTTGCTGTGGTCACCAAACCACACAACTGCCTAATCTCATTGTGGTTTGACAGCTTTTGTTTTTCTTTTCTGAGCTCCAGATCCATGTGTTTGGAAATCTCTATCTGTACTTTCCACAGATTTTCAGTGTGTCTCACTGGAACACTTCTCATTGTCTTCTCCTGCCAACTTGTCCCTCCTCCTGGATTTCCTGTCTCAGTAATGTCCCAGGTGGGGGTTTTTTGTTTGTTTGTTTGTTTGTTTGTTTTTTGTTTTTAACATATTTTTTTATTAATTTCAGAGAGGAAGGGAGAGAGAGAAACATCAATGATGAGAGAGAATTTTTGATCATCTGCTTCCTGCACGCCCCCTACTGGGGATGAGCCTGCAACCCGGGCATGTGCCCTGACCAGGAATTGAACCATGACCTCCTGGTTCAGAGGTCCATGCTCAACCACTGAGCCACACCAACCAGGCATAAGTCTCTGTCTCAGTGTTAAGACAGAGAGACCTGGACTCATTCTTCACCCTTCCCTCTGTCCTTGCCTCCCTCATTCCCTTTGTTCCCTTCTTTCCATCCCAGCTGTTTCCCTACACACTCTTATCCTCCCATCCCTTCTCCTTAAACATCAAACTCCTTAACATGTAAGCAGAGCCTCTTGGTGTCCCTGCCGCCCTCTTCCACCCTCACACTGTGCTCACCGCACCTGAGTACCTGCCGCTCCTGGGCTGTGTGGCTTCCTTGCCCCTTCTCCTTTGGAAGTTATACATATGAGGGTCCTTTGCTGTTGTTTTCCTCTCTCTTTTCCTGACAAACTCCTGTGGATTCCTTCGGTCTCCATCAGTTGTCACTGATCCTAGGAAGCCTTCCATCTCCCTGGGTTAGGGGTACCTTACGAGTGCTCACAATAGCTGTGTACACTTCTCTGGCGGCACTTACGGTACTGAACCTGTCCAGTGATTTCTCTGTGTGCCATCCTCATCTCCTCAACAATACTGGGTGTCCTCCAAGGTCAGAAAGATGCTGTGTTTTCCTCTGTGCTTCCTATCGCTAAGCACAGATCCTGGCACATAGCTGTTACTAGTGCATGTTTATTGAATGAATGAATAAAGGTATTCGCCGTCCGTGGAAATGCTGACTTAACCATTTCCAAAGTCTGTATTTTTCACCAGGGACAAACCTCTCTGGATGTCCGTTTCCTTATTTGTAAACGAGGAGGGTGCGCTGGACGCTGCCTGAAGTCCTTTTCAGCTCCTACAGTTTGGCATTTATGATTTTAAGATTCATCATCCTTGAGCATATTCAAAAGGCAACCATGTAAATTCTGAAGAAAATTCCAAAAAAGGAGTTCTGTTTTGAGCCATGGCGGTAACATTGAAATAATAATTTGGCTTTTGGGTTACACTGTGTCACTGCATGTGTTGCGTGCAGGGATCTGAGCACTTGAACATGTGAGTGGTGTCCTTATGGTGATTGGAGTCTCTGTGCCTTTGCTTACTTACCCTCAGTCACTTTGAAGAGACTAAATTCTCGTTTGCTGGGATTTTCAACTAAAACTTAAGACAACTGCTCCTCAGGGACATTGCAGCTGGGACTGAAGATTTAATTGCGTAATGAAGGGACTGATTGACCACTCAGATCTCGCCTAACAATGAGATTAGGCAGTTGTGTGGTTTGACAGCTTTTGTTTTTATGCTACAACAGGAAAAAAAAAAGTTGAACTTTAAGCTTGGATAGGACACTATTTATTTTTTATTTTCATCTCTTACTGGGTTTAATTTTAACATTAGAAAGCCACCAGAAGTCTTTGTTTATCAAAATTGTTGACTTTTGTGTATCCATAAACTAAATATAGTGGGTGGTCTCCAGCTTGCTGAAATGACCCGGGTGAAATCTTGTCTGAAGTCCCATTTATTTTTGGTTTTTTAGTGTAGTTCTTTAAAAAAAATTAAAAAAAAAATTAAAAAATGTAAAATACACCATAGATATAGAAACCACATAAAACAGATTTGTACTTTAATGAATTATTACAGGTGAATATTCTTGTAACCATAACTCTGGTCAGAAAACAGAACTTTTGGCCCTGTTGGCATGGCTCGGTGGTTGAGCATTGACCTATGAACCCGGAGGTCAGGGTTTGATTCCTGGTCAGGGCACATGCCCAGGTTTCAGGCTCCATTCCCAGTAGGGGGCGTATAGGCGGCAGTCAATCAATGATTCTCTCTCATCGATGTTTCTATCTCTCTCCGAAATCAATAAAAATATATTCAAAAAAATAATAAATAAAAATATTTTTTAAAAATATAATACCTAGTGGCACATAACTGAAACAGCAAGCTGAGTGTTAATCTCCTTCTTTAAAAAAAGAAAGAGCCTAGCCGGTTTGACTCAGTGGATAGAGCATCAGCCTGCGAACTGAAGGGTCCCAGGTTCGATTCTGGTCAAGGGCACATGTCTGGATTGCAGGCTCGATCCCCAGTGGGGGGTGTGCAGGAGGCAGCCAATCAATGATTCTCATCATTGATGTTTCTATCTCTCTCTCCCTCTCCCTTTCTCTCTCAAATCAATAAAAATATTTTTTAAAAAAGAAAGAGAGAAAGAAAACAGAACCTTTGCCCACAACCCCAATGCCTGTGTCCCCTGTCCCAATCCTGGTCCCTGCCTCCCATATAAAAGTGTACAGGTTTTTATTTAATCACTTATTTGAATTTAAGTTTCATCCCACTGCTAGGCATCCTTAAATACTTTAGTTTTGCCTTTTCAAATATGTGAGTTTTAAGCCATTTTAGTCTCAGGTCCTCCTTCCATCCTTTTTCTCCCTTGTAACTGATTGGAGAGGAAATCAGATTACTGGACCTGTAGTTGCTCAGCTGGATTATGCTGATGGCTCTGGCTGCCTAGGACCTGGCCGTGTAGAACAAGTGTGGCTGTTATGTGCCTCAGTCCTGGGATGATAGTCTACCTGCAATACCATCCCCCGTGTCTCCTTACCCTGGACCTTGTTCATTAGCTTATCTCCTACTTGACCTTCAGAAGTTAGCCTAGACCTCACTCCTCCTAGACAGACTTACCACCTGATCATCCGTGTCCTTTTCTGTAGTCTCATGACACTGAGGACATCACTGCAATTGCTTCTTTAGCCGTGTCAACATAAGAAACATTCAACCATATAAATAATTTTTGTGAGTTTATTTGAGCCAAACTGTCAACAATTGCCAGGAGTAAAATCTCAACACATTGAGATAAAGCTCTAGAAGATGGCAATTTTGCACCTGATTTTATACGACAATCAAAAGAGAAGACATAAGTAGGTTACATGACATTCATTGGTGATAGATTAGGGAGGCAGGAAAAAGCAAAGCGGGAAACCTCTGGAATTGGATAAGAAGTAAAATGATACATCTTTTATTTATTTGTTTAATTTAAAAAAATATATTTTATCGATTTTTTATGGAGAGGAAGGGAGAGGGATAGAGAGTTAGAAACACTGATGAGAGAGAAACATCAATCAGCTGCCTCCTGCACACCCCCTACTGGGGATATGCCCACAACCAAGGTACATGCTCTTGACCGGAATCGAACCTGGGACCCTTCAGTCTGTAGGCCGACGCTCTATCCACTAAGCCAAACTGGTTAGAGAATGATACATCTTTTACATAGGTGGGTACAGGATAGTGAATAGTCAACAAAGAACATGATACAAATAACAACTAGAGGATCTGTAGTCTCTGCTCTGGTGCTTCGGTTGTGCCCTGAGGGGTCCGGAACAAGGAAGTTATCCAGACATTCCAAAGGTGTGTTATGGTAGATACACAAAAGACTAATACACAGGCTCAGTTAAAGTAAAGACTGACTTTTGTCAGGGAAGATTCTAGCCTAGGACATGACTACCTGCCATAAACTACTTTTAGTTAGAAAGTTGTAATTGCAGACCAACCTTTGTGATTACTTGAGGTCTCTGAGGTTGCAAGGCCACCAGGCAGGCCTTTCCTGAGCTTGTCAGGTTAGCTTGTGACCCATTTTCATCCCCACCTATTTTCCCTCCCAAGCTGCTTTTCATCCACGTGAGCTTCCTCACATACTCCTGTGTGCCTGGCACGTGAGAACCAGATACAGAGTTGGACAGCTCAGTTCCTTGCCCTCAAGAAGCCCCTGGACAGGGAGGGGCAGACAAAGATGGTGTAAAACTTCTGAGCAGAGGAAGCAGGCCCCGGAGAGTGGAGAGGTTCCCATCCTAAACTGAGGGGTGGAGCAGGAGAGACCAAGCACAGAAGGCTCTCCAGAATAGGTGACAATGAAACCGGACAACCAATGGGTCCAGACTGCCTGTCACCACTTGAGCCAATTGAGCAGACAGAGTTGAATCATATCTGAGCTTTTATTCCAATAAAGCCGGCAGCATGGGAGAGCAGCAGCTCATCCACAAGAATCTGTTCTGCATACTCCATTAGCTCTTGCTTATATTGGGTAGGACAGAGATTGCATGGGGAAGTAGGCAAAAGAAATAAGAATGGATATAATGGCTACTGGTTACAGGCAATGTGGGGCAACAAGGTTGTACGCAACGTGAATTATATCTCAAATTGTTTAAAAATAAAGGAACCAGGAGCACCAATAGTTCAGAACCAGAGGCCATCTTAACATCATGGTGTCTTTGGAGAAAGAACTTTTCAGCTGTATTTAATTTGAACAATTCAAGTCCACTAGGCAAATAAGCATTGGATAGCTTGCTATGGTGGCAGAGTTAATTTTTTAGCAGTTTCCAAACAACTATGATGTTAAAAGGAAAATAAAGTCTCAGGTGAGCCCTGGCCTGTGTGGCTCAGTTGGTCGGGCATTGCCCCATGCACTGAAAGGTTTCTGATTCTATCCCCGATCAGGACACATGCTTGGGTTACAGACTCGATCCCTGGTAGGGGCCCTGCAGGAGGCAGCTGATCAATGTTTAGATCTCACATGAATGTTTTTCTCTCACTCTCTCACTCTCTCTCTCTCTCTTCTTTCCTCTCTCTCTAAAAATCAATTAAAAAATCTTTAAAAAAAAAAAGTCTCAGGTGAATGAAACCTACCTGATCTAAAATAAAATTTTAAAAAGTCAGGTCAAGTTGGTTGATAATGTTATTCATATATTCTATATTCTTATTTATTTTTTTAGTCAATTTTTGTTTCAGATATTTCAGAATTCTATTAAGAGGTGCTACTCAGTTAAGATTATTATGTCTTCTTGCTATATCTGACCCTCTTATCATGAAATAACCCTGTTATCTTTAGTTATATTACTTGCCTTGAAGTCTGCATCATTTGATGTTAAAATAGCCATATCAACATTCTTACATTGGGGGTGTGCATTTTATATTTTTCCCACATTTTTACGTTCAAGTTGCCTGGATGTTTGTGTCTAAAGTGCTTTTCTTATAAACAGAACAGTTGTTTCGTAAATTTATTTGGCCCCAGGACTGTTTTTTTATGTAACCTCTGTTAGCCAAGTACATTTTGGGGAATGCTGTTCTATGCAGGAGAATTCAAATTGGAAATTTGCAAGAAGAGCAAAACAGAAAATTTTAATTTCATTTTTATTTGAATTAACTAGATGCCTTGTCTATGTGACATTATCATTATATTAAAGTAATATCTATTTTTTGTTTTCCTACAATCTACTTTAAAAAAATTAAGCAGTTATCTAGCCAAGTAGAGGCTAATTGCACATAAAAGGGAAAAAATTCTCCATTCTGTCACTCCTCTGCTCTCTGACACTGTACTGAGAAGGGGGTCAGGAGGCCCCCTCTAGTGGACCTGCATCTCACTCTCATAGAATTTAATTGATATCCATCCCCCCAGACCCCCACCCCCCCTGTCCCCCAGCCAGTCTTCCAGAGTGGACTATCTGGTTGCTGGGGTGTCTCCTGTCTTTATATTGCATGTAGTTGGCTGCTTTTCCTATGATGCTACAAAGGTCACTTTTCCCATTACTTCTAGTCAAACTCCAACTTCAAGCAGAAGAGAGAGGGGTCGTGTCTATCAAAGGAGTGTGTGCCAACCGCTATCTCGCTATGAAGGAGGACGGCCGGTTACAGGCTTCTGTAAGTAATGCTTTCTGTTTTTGTAGTTTGTTTCTTTGTTTGCTTTTATGCTCTGTATGTACTGATGTTGGTATTTGTTAAATCTTCATTAAGGGTTTTAGAAGCATTATACTATTTAATATCCATACATACCCTATAAAATGCAGGGTATCATGCTCTTTATTTCACAGATACAAAAACTGAAGTTCGGAGGGAGTAAAAAAGTAAGCAAGCAAACTCAGCTCCTCTGAGGCAGCTTTTACTCCAGAGTGTGAGGCCTCGCTCACTGCTTTTCCTGCCTTCTCTGCAAAGCTTGAAACTACAGTGTTGTTTTGTTTTTAAATCCTTATATTGCGCAGTTGTTTGAAGACCAGTGGGATGGACATATACACTTTTGAGCATCAGTGTTAGGGTTCTTCTGTCAAATTTGACAAACCCTTGCAGTGTGGAATGCTATTTGAGAATGTGGGCTCTGATCCTATGTATAAATACTGGCTCTGCTGCTGATTAGCTGTGGGTTCTTGGACCAAGGATTCTGAATTAGTTCCCGTATCTGTAAAATAGAGGCCCTAATGATCCTTCCTATCTCATTGTTTTTGTGAAGACCATAAGTTATAAATTAGATAACTTGTATCAAGTGTCAACATCAGGGTCTAATACATAATAGGTCCTAAGTGGTTACTTTCTAGAGGATGGCTTTGAGGCAGCCAAGATTGCTGGAGATGGGCCGGTTCAGGCAATCGATGATGACACCTGGCAATAGCAGGGCAGAGAGGCTGAGCCAAGGACTAGCACCTGAGAGGGAAAATGTTTAGGAGTACAGCAGAGGGAAAAGTCAAAGATGGCCCTTAGGTTTCTGGTTTGGATGAGAGGGTGGATGGGAAAGGGGAAGGGGAAAAGAGCAAGTGCCGGGGAGAGATGTAGACCTATTTCAGTTGAGTTGCCGAAGAGAAACCCGGTGAGGATGTTCACTACATGGTTGGAGGTATGGGTCTGGAGCTTAGAGGTCAGTGTTGACATATGGCTTTGGTGTCATCAGCATCAAGGTGGTAGTGGAATCAGGGGAATGGATGACGTTTGTAGGTGAAAAATAGCTCTAAAAGATGGACTGCTTGCCTGGAACATTCACTTTTTCCACTGTTCTTGTCTTTTTTTTCTACCAGTCTGTTGTCAACTCAAGGGGTGATGTAATACTTTGGGACGCTACCAAAGTAGCATTTTAAATATTTCCAGGACAGTGAAGCAGCGGGTAATTTTAGATGCCCTTGATCTTGTAGGGGGAGGAAGAGGGGTTTAACCCTACTCTTCTCACCTCCAGATGTGACAAGTCATACATGGTGTGAATCCCTGTGGCTTTTACAACAGTGTTGGTTTGGCTCCTGTCAGGCAGTGAAGATGGTGGAAAGAAGGAGGTGTACACATTGGCTATGTCATAACTAACTATGGATGACCCTCGTCAAATGCTTTTAAAGCTCTAGCCTTTTCTAGGACTGTCTTGATCTAGCTCAGGGAGAGATTTGAGAGTGTTACCCTGTGGTTTTCTACTCATTGAGATTAAGACCCAGTAACCTGATAATAATGGCTGCCCTGTAAGGTGGCCATTGAAGGGCTTGTTTATCTCGAGAACAGTCTGGAGTGGGTACGTTTGTAATGATAAAAGGCTCCATGTTGTCAAAAGAGATGAAAACAGAAGCTACTCTGCTTTCAAGTGCATCTCTGAAACTACGGGCGTCCTTAGAAGAGGAGAAGCATTTAAGACCAGGGACCTAAAAATGGAACAATCTCTCATTCTTACAGAGTTCTCTACAAGTTAGAATTCAGGGAATTCTGATCTCTTTTCTTGGTAAATACGCATTAAGCTTCCAAAACTGTTGATTCCGTACCACTAGAAGCATAAAGTGCTCTAAAAGAAATTTCCTCCTTTCTTCCTTAGCTAACCAGGACCTTCCACAAGATTAAGGTCACGGCCTTTTATTTCATCTGAAATGTGTTTCTGTCTCCTCGGATGTGTGTTAATTCTTCCCGACACAGCAGTAAGAGTGAATTTAGCAATGCTTAGAGATTTACCACACACTCCTCTGTAGAGACAAAGCTACAGCTGTTCTACATAAATGGGAAATTCAGAATTTATCGGTTTCCTCTCAGGAATGGCATCATGGTTCCAGCTTCCATCTTAGGATCTATACTTGGCAAGTTCACGGTTAATCGCTAATCTGACCACTCCATTTGGGTGGCCGGCTGCCATGCCTGTTTAGCGGCAATCCTGTCTCCTTCGTGTCAGGCTGGGTGGGCTGTGTCAATCTTCGGATGAGAAAGTAATCACACACCTCAAACCAAGGAGGTGCTGGTGGTGGCTCAGTAAGGGGCAGAGTCAGACCCAGAGGCGTGGAGCTGCCAGCAGTCGCTGCTGTTGGTGTCAGTCCAGTGTTGTGACCAGAAGCACCCCCTGGGCGTGCAGTGGCTCCTTGAATTGAGAAACTGCGGTTATGAACTTGCACTTGACAAAGGCATGGTTCTTCCTGCTCTTCAACTACCCGGCCCCATTCCGCCTGCTGTGTTAGGGCTCATCCCTGTGTGGGATCCCCCAGAGATTTGTAAAACGTGCCAGTTCCCCTCAAAAAGAGAGCACTCTGGCTACATAAAACATTTGGTTTCTAAGTCACGTCAGGTAGGTTGCCACCAGTTGAGTGCATGAAAAATGACTAAGTTGTGTCCCATTTTTTTCCTCCAACACCTTCATGTATTAATGGTATGAATGCATTCAGGATAAGGATTTCTCACTGTTTGCAAACATTTCTTAAGGGTCTCTCCCCCATCCCCCTTCGAAGCTAGAAAATACAAAAGTTCAAAGAGTAACTATATTTAACTGCCAAAGCCTATATTTGGAGGCAGACGTGGAGTAGCCTTTAATCCACAACAGACTCCTTATTCCATTCCATAGCAGGAGAAATTCTGTTGCTATGAGCAACAGAAGTCCAGAGCAAATATTAGGATTTATGATTTCTTAAGGGTTCACAAAATTGTAGTAGATTTTTTAAAAAAAATTGCATATAGTGAGGCAATTGTAGTTTTAAGTTTAAAGCACCGAGCAACCTCAATGTTAGCATTGAACTGAAACAATCTGCCTGGTCTTTATCTGCTAGGAAGTCCCACATTGTTTTCTGTAAAATGTGAGAGACTGTGCTCACCAAACAAAACATTTCAGTAAGTATTCGAGTATGTGTGACCTGTGTTGATCCATAATAGTGAAACATGAGAAATCATTTATATTCTCTGAGGATATACATTTAATCACTGTAAAAGTAAAATACTTTATTTTTACCTGCCTGGAGAATAAGTTTCTTACTTGAGGGGCCTTCACTATGAAGCCTACACGCAAAGTAGGGAAACTAGCTTTTTGAGGGCTCCCTGATCTAGATTGACAATATATACTGATCAAAATTGTCAGAAAAATGCAACAATTAAGGAGGAATGTATATCATTTAAGAGAGAAAGTACAATTAAATGCAAAGGTTACTGCCTAATAAGAATTATTGCTTCTTTTAGAAACCAATCTTATAAAATGTTATACAACATATGTATTTTTATTTTTTACAAGATTAAAATTTCCTTTTAACTTTTCACAATTTGTGTGTTTGAGTTTGTTCTGAAATAGTCGGTATTAATACTTACATCGTCTCTGTTTTTAATTATCAGAAGTGGTGTAAGCACAAGCATTTTTGGATTCATGTTGAGCAAACTCCCTCATAAGCCAAAACTGCAAAATCAAAGTACTGTAAAAGAACAAACAATCCAAAAACAGAGCATGGGGAAATGACCAGAAGGTTCAAATCTAATATGTAGCAGCAGGCGAGACTCCTGAGGCCAGTGGCACAGGGAGGAGCGAGGGCAGGGAGCACTGTGGAGTGATCGTCCCCCCAGTACCATACCGTCTTCTTTGGAGGGAAGTCACTGCACACGGCCCACACTGAAGGGGGCAGGGTTATGCGCCATCTCCTTGGAGGAGGAATCTACATAAATTTTTTGGAATTCTCATGTGAGACGCAGACAGCTTCTTACCATCCCTATGGCCACCACTGCGGTCTGAGTCTCCACTCCCTCTGCCTGTGATACTCAGCCCACCTCATACAGGTGCCCCGGCATCGGCCTTTGCCCAGTGTGGTCTTGGCAGCCAGAGTAACCCTGGGAGAATGTCAGGTCATGCCACTTTGCTGCTCAAAAGCCTACAGTGGTTTCCCATTTTCCCAGAGAATTTACAATAGCTCCTAATCTATCTCGTTTCCTCTCTGACCTCATGTCCGCCTCCCCTCCCTTCATGCACCCGGGCTTCCTTGCAGCACCTCACACGCTGCAGGCCTGATCCTGCTCTAGCTGGCGCTGGCTGTCCCCTCTCTGTGCTCAAAATGCCCTGCTCTCATGTCTGGATGGTTAACTCCTTCACCTCCCAGCATTTGCTCAAATGTCACTTTCCCAGGGGAGCCTCCTGTGACTGTGCTATTTAGTGTTGCAACCGTCCCACTCCCAACCCCTCTCATTCTCGCTTTTACTCTTTCCACAGGATTCATTCTAATCTGGCACACAAGTCACCCACTTACGTTCATTGCTTATTTGGTGTCTCCACCTGCTAGACTGGAGTGGCACAAAGGCATGGTCCTCATTCAGTTTGTTCACTGACCAATCCCAGTGCCTAGAAGACAAAACACACGTTAAATAAATGCATGTATTATTGGAACCGTGTGCTTTCTATATCTTAACATTATTTTAAAATTAAAATAAACCAAAATAAAGGAAAATTTAATTTGATGAAAAGGTGTGAGAAGTGGCTACTTAGTCACGTCCTCTGTGATGTCATTCCTCCGGAGGACCCCCCCTTTCTCTGAGGTTTGAAGTGGTGAGAAGTTGAACACTGGGAATAGGAAAAAAGCTCTGTAAACATGTTTATAAAGGTTAAGGGAACTTCTATTGCATCAATTTTTAATAGAAACATTGAGGTCACAGTCACCGAAGATTTGTAAACTGAGAAAGGAGAGAATTGAAATTGTACTTACATGGTCATGTGAAACCCCTGCTTTTCCTGAGAGCCGAATTTTGCCCTACGACCCATTTGAAAAAGCACCGCAGTTTGTTTTCAAGCGCGTACCACTTGTTTAGTAAACGTACGTGTCTGAACGTTTGGCACAGAAGCCAGCTTTCCTTCCGCCCGCGCTGTTTTTGTAAAGGTACAAGTAACCTCTGTGGAAACAGTGTGTGGGTTCCATGATGTAGTGCCCACTTAATCCCTGGTACTGTTTCTCTTCTCTGAAATAGTAGGAACTGGCAGAGAAGGCGAATATTATTGGCATGGCACCCATCCCCGTAGGCCAGCCATTGTAAGGAGTGCCAGCGGCAAGGTGGGGCGCCCTGGAAGTTGACAGAACACCCCAAATGAGCGTATCAGTGTCCTGACGACTGGGGAGTTAGCCTGCGTCACTCCATGACAACCTTCCCTGTTATCTTTATGATCGGTATGACTTTTCCTTTCACTCTTTACTTCCTTTCACTTCCACTCCTCGTCTCAAACCTAGAATTGGGAAAGAGGGAGGTTTTTATCAGTGGTGCTGAAAAATGACAAAGGAACACAGGTTAACGTCAGTCATCACAAGAGGCGGAAGGCATTTCACCAGAGGCTGAGTGGAGGTGTGGGCTGTGGATGCCCCACACGACTGCAGGGTTCCCCTGTTACCACAACCGGGCCTTCCCCAGCCGCAGTCCTGGCTGTGACGGAGCTGGCTCCACTGCAAGGCTTCCTGGGTTTTATTTGTATCAGAAAGACTTACGTTGCTTTACTAACTTGTTGCAAAAAAAAAAAACCTGGATGATTTTGCATTTCAGTTTTAAAAAGTTTAATGAACAAAAGCCAAGTAAGCATCCAATAAAATTCTCACTGCTGCAAGCCGCCGACGGGACCTGCAATGCACCCTCACTTTAACCGCCTGAGATGTATGCGTTCTCTGTTAGGTCTCTCTCAGAACCTTTCACTTTGGTTATTACACCAGCTCTTTTCATTGTTTTGCTTATTGATTTATGATTTTTTCCCCCTGTCAGTTTGTGCCATTGCTCAGTTGATCTTGGAACCAAAGAATCCCGGAAAAGATTCAAGTCTTTTGAATGTGGGTTTTCCCAGTCCTGAAGTTTCCTAGATTTGAGTATCCAGACAGAAGTGGCAACCTGGTGCACTCATTAATGCAAAGCCATGGGCTTGTGCGCATGCTGTATTTATATGTGGAGATAGAAACAGGTGTAAAATTATATACCTTTCTCTATGATTTTATTCATTTACCTATAATTGAAATATAAAAAAATAAATTATTTTTCCTTTCTTCCCTTAAAGTGAGCAAATCATTTGTTGATTCTCCCCACTCCCACCCAGAGGTCAGTATGTATCATCATTGCTACCATGTGAAATTGAGTTTTTAAAATAGTTTGATTTTTAGAGAGAGAGTAAGGGAGATGGAGAGAAACATCAATGTGAGAGCACAACCTCGAACGGCTGCCTCCTGCACACCCCCTAACAGGGATGGAGCCCACAACCCTGGCATGTGCCCCGACCGGGAATCTAACCAGCAACCTTTTGATGCGTGGGATTGATGCTCAATCAACTGAGCCTCGTTGGCCAGGGTGTGAAGTTGATTTTTGAACATTTACCTGAAATCATGTGGCAGCCTATCAGACTTGATGACTTGGAATCGTATCACCAGATCTAACTATTTGTTTAGCTGGCTATTTTCTCCCCTCAATAAATAGCTGGATTGAAGTCAAAAGGCAGAGTAGTTCCCCCTCCCACAAGAAACTGCCAGAAAGGAGTATGTTCTCCATCACTTGTTCCTCATGATCTCTCAGTGTTTTGAGAATGCCAATCATATATGTTTCAATACAATTTGGGGGCGATATATACATTCACTATTTCCTGTACAATAAACTATTCAGTTATGCCGTTGAAACAATATTAGCTACTGGGAAAAATATAATTTAAGGAACTGTTTCTTGCCTTTGGGAAAGTTACCTGTCCAGCACTGTTTCACGGGAACCCTGCTAAGTCAACACGACCCAGTTGGTAACCTGCCTCTGGATTGGATGAGCATGGCTGGACCATAAACCCCCACTGGAAGCCATAGCTTTGGGTTTCCCCAGGTGTAGGGGGGAGGTTTGGTACTGGGTGTACCCCTCTTTGTGGAGAGCCCTGAAAGCTATGTGTGGGGGGTACTTAAGTCTGAGCCAGTGTGGTTCCTACACTACCTGTGTGCCCTTGTCACCTAACACATACCTGCCCATGGGGCTGCAGAGAGGGTCTGTGGCTGCCTCCATCGAAGAGATTAGCTGGAGGCCATCCTGCATCCTTCTTCGGGTCTGGGCTGTGTCAGAGCCTGGCCTGCCGAGTCTGGCTGGTTTGACTGTCCCGCTGAACCCAACAGTACTGCTGCTGGTTGAGCAGAATGGGCAGTGAATTGTCAAAACATTTAATATGCAGAGTAAAATAATAATAGCAACAATAACAACTACTTATTCTTCCTTTATTTTTCAGAAATGTGTTACGGATGAGTGTTTCTTTTTTGAACGGTTGGAATCCAATAACTACAACACTTACCGGTCAAGAAAGTACTCCAGTTGGTATGTGGCATTGAAGCGGAATGGGCAGTATAAACTTGGACCCAAAACAGGACCTGGCCAGAAAGCCATACTTTTTCTTCCCATGTCTGCTAAGAGCTGATCTTAAGGGCACCATCTGATCTCGTTTCACATGAAGGAAGGGGTATATTTTAGAAATTTGTTAACGAGAGGAAAAGAAAATGTGTGCAGCTGTCTGCTCAGTTTGGATAACTGGTCAGATAACCTTTGATCTAATAGTAAAGTATTTAACCATTGCCTTAGTAAAGAAAACAACAAGAATTCCTGGAAAATGTATAAATTTCCACCTTTTATATAGCATTTGCCTTTATCCAGTGACGCTTACTTAGAGCTACAATCTTTCCATACATTCACTCCATTCGAAAAGAGGCTTTAAAAATGTGTGCACTTGCAAATTTTCTTCATGGAAATCATACACATTAGAAAATTAAAGTCAGAGATTTAGTTAACCCAAAATGTGCACCATTCTTAGAATATGGCACACATTAATCTACAACTTACTAAAAATTTTTACACATGTAAATATGATTTAGTCCACTCCCGTCATCACTTTGTAACTGTCTGGCAGTTCCCTGTGATAGAGTTTGTAGAACAAGCCCGTGTAAACAGCTGGGAACTGGTCCATGGTCAGGTCAATCTTCTCGAAGCCTTCCCTGTGCCCGTACAGCAGCAGCCGCGCGGCCCTGCTGGTGACGGGCGTGGTGTTGGCGGCCTTGGCCAGGTCGGTGAGGTCCATCCACTCGCACCGCAGGCACTCGTGCGGGCACAGCTCGATGGTGAAGGAACGCGGCTTCAGGCGGCAGATGATGTACATGTCCGACTTCCCGAAAGCCCCGGGGTGGCTGTGCTGCTGCCGAATGCTCAGGAGGGACCTGAATTCTGATCGTATACCAGTTTCTTCAAAAACTTCTCGAACTGCTGTGTCTCCTGCGTGAAGAAAAGATGTACAAATCAATAAGAATCACATTTTCAGAAGGTAATCGTCAAGGATTTTCAGTTAGAGAACTTTATCTAAAGGTTCAGAAGCAAAACTTTAAGAAAGTGAAGTTTTCAATAAAAACTCCGACACCCTGAAACACCAAAGTATTTTCTTACCACTGTACACCTAAGAAGCTTTCAAAATAGTGAATATTTCTTTGGCTGCTACTGGGGGGCCTATCCACCTGATGTTTTTGGGGTCACATATTTTTAACTTCTTCCTGCTCTACTTCTCAAAAGGTGAAAACATAGGTTGCAAAGCTGCAGTTACTGTTCCTACATGTTTCTTCGTCGTTACCTGTTCCTGACCATCCACCCACACTGCCTGAATTTATAAATGTTGGTGTGGAGAAAAAGTGATCCCCTCCTTATGAACGTGTAGGGCTGCGGGGTGTAGAGACTGCGAAGGGACTCGGACCTCTCCTGGTGATCTGGGGCAGGTGTGGAGGACAGTCAGGCCTCCAAATCTCAGGAGGATGCCTTTGCGATCTTTTTGTTGTTCTCCACTAATTACCCAGTCCGGAGAATCCCAATTGGGATTTTGGGCAGCTCCTTTGTTTCCTGAGATTCCAAAGAATTTAGATTCATTCCTCCAACACCCAGATGCTGCAGTCACTCCATCAGAGGTTTTTAAAAACTTGCAGTACACAGAACTTTGTAATACAACAGGGTTTCCACATTTTAGAAGGGTGACTTTCTGATAACACACAAACTTATGGGGCAGGATTTTCACTGCCATTAGCATATGCTGGTGGCTGCTTTTTCTAACTATCCAGATGATCCCCGATGGCTTCTTCTAATTCTGTGATGCTGCCATTATCTCCCAAAGAGGCACCAGAAGCCCTGAAAATAGCTGCCTTCCTCACCCAGTTTGCCGGGAATTATCATAGTTGCATAGCTTTTTGTTCCAATACACTTTAGTACCCGCCTTTTCTTGTTTGTCAAGCAGTAAATTATATTTGCCTTGTTAGTAGTCTTGCTGGTCTTACTGGTGAAGAACAGGCAAGGAAGAGGAGGGCAAGGAGACTGTCTCCAAGTCCATGTGCTCTGCCATGGACTGTCTTCCCAATTCCCTGGGTAGCTCTGGATGCTCCCTGAGAAATGGCTCTGGAATTGTGTGCAGGAGGAGCAAGGTGCTCTGAAATGTAAGCCATCTGTCTGCCATTTTTTAATTACATGCCTACTCCCCTTATAATTGAGATTTGCCACAGGTTGCACAGGGCTAGAAATTATATTTTTAAATTAAAAATGTGTAAGAATTTATGCTAAAAAGGGAAAAATTTCCTTACTAAGAAAAATAATTTTCAGTCTGGTATAGAATCCATATTTGTTATTAAATCTATTAAAGACTGTGGCACTAGTCTTAGCTTTTAATGTCATTGGCTGGTCTCACTTAACTATTGGTTAAGTGTTCTTTAAACACTTTGAAAACTAAACATGGGGGTCCTGACTAGTTCTCAGTATCACTAGTCAAGATTTGGGCCTTGAGTTCCCATCTAGCCTGTTTCCATGTCACGGATCACAGATGAGGACAGTCGGGGAGTCAGCCCTGTTCAGCAGTCACCAATGCGGTGGACCCCAAAGCAGCACTGCCTGGGTAGTCTGATCAGTTTAACTTGAATCAGCAGAGCAGTGGCTAGACGAAAACTGAATGGGCAAGTAGGTGCTTCTGTGTCCAGGGTATGAGAGAGCCCTTCTGCCCCCAGATGGAAATCTCTTCTCCAAAGATCTTGCCATGAATCTGAATTTTTATTTGGATAAAGTGCTTTTCTCTGCTGGGCCTTTGTTATTCTAACGTACTGTAAGCTAAACTGAAATAACATTTACTGTGTTACAAGTTTGAAGAACATAGGAAAAACCAAGAGGTTATGTTTTTACCGTATTTTTGCTGATTGAGAGATATGTTTAAATACGTCATAGCATTTTGTTTAGTTGTAGAACAATAGTGAGATGGAGTTTATATTTGTTATTTCTATTTTGTGATATTTAATGAAGGATTAGATGGAAATAAAATAAAATCATAGAAAAATTGTGCAGAATGTGGGCTTTCCTAGTGTTTCACTCTGACTCTGGGGCACAGATGAACCCAGACCAGCGACTGGTGCAGTCCTCAGGCTATGCAGGGGGTTGTCCCTGGCAGGGATAATGGGGTTTTTTAGGAAGGCAATGTCTCCATTTTTAACCTTTGTACTCCTAGGGTAGATATTAAAGCCTGAGGATTGCATTCCATTTTGTATATGCTCCTCTTGATTCTTTTTAGACACTACAGACAATAGTGCTTCATTTACCTAGTAACAAAGAATGAAGGATTGCAAACAGATATGTTTCCCAGTTAACCAGTGTTTACTACTTATGAGCCAGTATGAATGCTTGCACATTGGTGATGGCAGTATTCCTAAAATAGATTATGTTCCTAAATATAGGGTTTAAAGAAAATAAATAATTCTTGGATGATTTGGCTTCATCATTAAAAATATCTATTATTGTATTGTATTGTATTACAGAACAGAAATGCCTTTGGATAGACATAGTCGTTCAGGACTCTACTGTCAGTTACCATTTCCAGCTGCTTTCAGGGTTTTATCAATCTAAGGCAAAGCTTTAATTTATACTAGAAAGTATGGTGAATGACAACTGCTGCTTTTTCCTTCATTCCACACGGTTGAGGTGTATCTATGATCTCTGGGTAGGTGGGTTGTTGTGTCAACCACAAATACATAAAAAGTAGTAAATTCTTAACTACTTGGACTTGAAGGGTTCTGGAGTACACTTAAACCTAACTATTTGTCTTGGAAATGTGTTTCTTCATGTACATTTAAATATAAGTCTATCTGAAATTCTGAAGATCCATAAAAATGAACTCCAGTTCATTGGCGAGGAAGCTACACAAACCTCCTGCAGATGGCTTCCTGCCCGGTATGGGTTGGGTGAGGATGTAACATAAGCTTAACTAATTCACATGCTCTTATACATCACATAAGGAAAGTGGAAGATAATTAGGTGTTCGAGGATAAATGGCTTTACCTCCCAGCACTCACACCACTACCAAATTCCCTTTTATTTCCACAGAAGACCCAACAGAATCTGGGTCAATAAGTATCTAAAATCCAGAATTTGCTATGAATTTATTTGAATGTAGTAAATGTACTTACTGGTTGTTAAGAGTTGGCTGTATACTATATATAGAGCATTTTAATCTGTGTAACATTTTTAGAAATTAAGTTTCAGGAATATATACATTTTTATATAAAATATCCAAGGATAATTTAGGAAATTGTGTTCACATAAATGTTGGCTAAAGAGAACAGGGACATGCAATCTTGAGGGAAAAGTTGTGGAGAAATAGTACTGGTATCCAAGTGAGTTACCTATTGATTCATTATGACAGGGGCTGTATTAGACCAGTGGGGTAAGGAGGAATAGGTAGGAAAACTCAGTTTCTATTCTTTCATTTATTTCCTATAAAATCAGTGACAATGAGAATTCTTAGCTTTTTTCAAATTCCCCTGTCTTCCATATTGAGCTCAGGAACTTGTTTTAAGGAGTTATGTCTCTCATGTGAGATCTTCTCATATGAGATATTTCACTATGCTTTGGCTTCTGACTAGTCACAATAATTAGTAGATAAATTTTTCAAAAATAGAAGAATTACATCACCATGGCTCTATAACTGACTTTATAAATAATACTTGTTTCAAAGTTCATGTAAAAGTTACTATTCATCCTTGTGTGATGACATAGTCAAGAATTTGTGTTTTCTCATAGTTTAATTCCAACAATTTTAGTCATATTCCAAATAGCCTTCAATGCTAAACTTTGCTGATGCATATCCACAGCTTCTCACTTTCAAACAAATCACTCTAGAAGCAGCCTTAAAGGGAAAAACAGGTGTATCGTCCTGATGGCATTTTTTATACTAATGGAGTAAGTTCTAATGTTACATGTTTTGCTGCTAATTTTATATCAGCCCTGAAGTAACCTCTCTGAAATTTTCTTAGTCTAAACCAGTTAGAAAATTGAAAATATTATTCTTAACTATACAGTAAAAAAAGTAAAACATGAATTTCCTTAACATTTTCAGGCCAATTGAAAATATGTAAGATACACACCGATATCTTCTCCAGGCTCCGAAAGGCCTCCTGGGAACTTCCACATGTTTTTCAACTGCAGTGTAAAGTCAGAAAATAACATCAACACAGCTTTTATTCACTAACACACATATATGGTGACCCACAATATTTACCCATATTGGTCAAGGTGGTTGAGAGTTTATTTTTTGGTAATTGCATGTAAATTTTTTCCAGTTTCCGTCCTCATTACTCTTTTCCTTTTTTTGGGGGGGGGGGGGAACTGGTAACTTATGAATTATTTTCCCACTGTTTTCTTTGGGAAATAGAAGTGGTTTTGTTTGGTTAATGTGATAAATTCTGTATGAATAAAACAGTGAAGGGAAACATCTACTGAATTAGTGTAATTTTAAAAAAATTGCTGCTAGTTAACTATTAACAAATAGAGGAATCTTACAGATGCTGCTATAAATAAGTAGAAAATACAGTAAAAATGTAATCACTGAAGTACACTACTTTTAATTTCACATTTATTTTCTGTATTATGTGTCTAATCAGATATATTAACCTTATGATTTTTCTTGCCCTGTGTGTTAATGATTTCATGGGTAGTGTGAATAAAACTGATTAAGTTTGTGGGTTTTTTTGTGCACCTTCTTTGGGGGTGGGGAGAGACAGGTGGGAAGATCTGATCTTGGAATGGAGATAAACATGGGGAAAACTGATTAAAAATAATTATGAAAAGGCATGGGACAATATGCTTATGGCTAACATATTTTTTCCTGTTAGAAGTTTGTTATACCTACCCAACCACCATGATCAAAGCTGAAGAATGAGAAATTAGGACATACTCATAAAGGCACTACAGCTTGGAGCCAGGACACCCTCTACTCTTCATTCATAAAACAAGTTCATGGACCTTTTTATGGTGTGCTTTGCGGCCCTCTCATTTCCTGGACGGGTGCTTCTTAAAGTGTGTCATTTCCCAACTATGCTAGGTTGGAGAGCAGTGGCATGATTCCCAGAGTTTCCACAGACTGCTGATTATGTGGGCTCAGAATTCAGGCTTTCCACCCTTCTGTGTCTGGCTCAGACTTGAGGTTCATTTATAACGCATATTATGTTTTATTTTATTAACGTAGGAAGATTATCTCTAAGGATGTCTACATTAATGCACTGTCTTCGGGGAGTTCTATTCTGAAATGGTTCCAGAAGCTATGTTTATATGGAAACGCTGCAATCTTCTCTCCAATAGGATACTGGACTTCACCACCATAAATTCTATTTCTAACAAGAGATATGAATACTTCCTCAAAACAATAAAAGCCAATTTTTTTTAAACTTAGACTTGATGACAAAAATTGGAGATTGATTCTTGATTACATTTGGAGATATGAACTTATTGGAAGGGAGAACATGCTAGATAGAAGGACTGAAAACATCTCATACAAATTTGATTTTCTTTATTTTATAAACCTTAGCTATGGAAAAATTAAGTTTATTTCTATGCTGGTGAGTAGTTTTTTATATTTTCTGGCACCATTTAGCTTTAAAGAGCATGTTTGAAAAAAGCTTCCTCCATCTCCAAAAAAGCTTCGGCCTGCAGTTAGTCTAAGTGGGAGGTAGAGAGGCCCTTGTCAGGTGGTTTGAAAACCTGGTTACTGTAGATCTGATCTATGGAGAGATGAGTATATCTCCTTTTTTAATATTAAAGAATACTCCCCATTAACTGGGTTGAGCAACATAATAACAACAACAACAACAAATACTAGGTAATATATATTACCTAAATGTTTTTATAAGAATTATATACGTTTAGCCCTGGCCAGGTAGCTCAGTTGGTTAGAGCGTCATCCTGATACAGCAAGGTTTCAGGTTCGATCTCCAGTCAGGGCACATACAAGAATCAACCAATGAATGCATACATAAGTGAAACAACAGATTGAGGTTTCTCTCTCTCCTCTCTCTATCCCTCTCTCAAAAATCAATAAAAAAAAAAACCGAAGAATTACACACATTTAAACTTTACAGTAATCCATGAAGGACTATTCCCATTTTGGAAGCGATAAAACTGAGGGCATAAAAAGACTTAATAACCTGCCTGAGGTGACAGAGCTAGAGTGTAGTAAACTTGGTTAAAATCCAGGCCTTCTGATTCTATCCATCTTTCAATAAATTTTAAAAGTTGTTTAGCTATTTTCCCACTAATCCTTAACTACTGTTTTCTGCCTTTTTATATATCTTTTGCTCTTTTCTTCAGACCTCACTGGAACATTCTATGTAATCCAACCAGAATTTGTACTGTTTGGGTTACATTCATTCCAGGGCTTATGAATTTGAACTGTGACCTCCTGGTTCATAGGTCGAAGCTCAGCCACTAAGCAATACCAGCCGGCACAGATCCACTGTACTTAGATAATACATTAGCTATTGTATTATCCTTACCAATAAGATAGAAGCTGCCATAGAGATCTCTTAGTAAGTTTATTCATTGAACAAAAATTTATTGAGTGCTAGGGGGCCGGGTGTACAGAAATTAATGCACAATGTAGCAAGCCCATTCTCTTTCTCCCCATACCACTGTATTTTTCTTAACATCACTGCCTTATATATTATTTATTCTCTTGTTGATTATTCTTATCTTACCCATTTGAATATAAGCTACAGACATAGGAACTTTGCTTTGTTCACTAATGTTTGCTTTGAGTTCAGAACAGAGCCAACAATGTAGTCAGTACAGGAACTCGGGAATGCCAGTGAGTAAGTGAACAGGTCGCTGCCCTGGTCTTGGCTTTTTTAGCACCCAGTTTACAGATCAAGCCACTGTTAGACCTTTTATTTCTCAAAATCATGGGGCGGGTGAAGTATTGGACTATATGGTTAGGGAAGGAGAAAGGATCCATTTTAAGTATCACTTTAGCTTTGTGTCTGTGTGCATATGTTTGTGGTGAGGGTTAAACTCTGCTCTGCAAGAATGCCTTGACAGCAATGCCTGGGCAGAGGGAGGCGCTAAAAGGAGAACTGTCTCAGATGTCAGAAAGAATGCTAATTAGTTGTTTATGGTTAATGGCTGTTATTTATGCTTAAATTCCACCTAACAACAATATAATTACAGAAATTAAATATGGTTTAGTATCACACTTTATATTGTTTTATTACAACACTGAACTATACATGAAAACTCAGTTTTCATCTTTTGTTGCTCTCAGATGGTTCTCTGCTTATAGCTTAAAAAATAAAATTGAAGCCCTAGCTGGTTTGGCTCTGTGATTAGATTGTTGGCCCTCAGACTGAAGGGTCTCAGGTTCGATTCTGGTTGCAGGCTCAATCCCGGCCCTGGTTGGGGCATGTGCAGGAGGCAACCAATCACTGTGTCTCTCTCACATCGATTTTTCTCTCTCTCTGTCTCTCCCTCTCCCTTCCACTCTCGCAAAAAAAAAAAAAAAAAAAATTAACAGGAAAAATATATCCTTGGGTGAGGATTAACAAAAACAACAAAATTGAAGCCCTAAAAAGGAGTATCATTTCTATGTAACCCATACAGAATCCAAAGTCTTAAGTAATCTAAATTTGTCTCCAGCCTCTGCCAGTCCCAGCTGCCCAGAAGCACAGTAGGAATATGAAAAGCATTGCTTTCTCACTCTTAGAGGACCAATTACTGGCAGGTTTGCAAGTCAGCAAATGAAGAGTCGGAGCTCAATGTGCTAGGGTAGCAGTTCTCAAACTTGACCATGTACCCGAGTCACCTAGGTTTGTGAATATGAACTGCTGAGCAGCATTCCCAGTGTTTCTGATTCAGGAGGTTGGAGCGGGGCCTGGAACGTGAATTTGTAATAAGCGGATGCTATGATTGTCTCTCAGCTCCAAACTCACCCTCTGTGCTCTGCCTAATGATGCTGGAGCTGGGATCCTGCTAACCAGTTTCTGCTTTGCCAGGGGACTCCCTTTTAGGTTCCATCAACAGATGTGTAAGGCAGCGGGAGGAAGAAGGGACTTACTGAGGGCCAGGAACAAAATACTTTCTGTACGCAATAAATTTCTGTTGATAAAGCTTAGTTTGAGTCAGAGAACCTGCCTTAACTAAAACTTCGAAAGTTACTTATAACTATGAGAATGCTTTTAGATCGCATTTCTGAGAAATGTGTGATACTTTCAGCTATCATTGCCAATAGTTGTTTAAAATTTAAAAACATGCCGAAACTGGTTTGGCTCAGTGGATAGAGCGTCGGCCTGCGGACTGAAGGGTCCCGGGTTCGATTCTGGTCAAGGGCATGTACCTGGGTTGCGGGCGCATCCCCAATAGGGGATGTGCAGGAGGCGGCTGATCGATGTTTCTCTCTCATCGATGTTTCTAACTCTCTATCTCTCTCCCTTCCTCTCTATAAAAAATCAATAAAAATGTATTTAAAAAAAATAAAATTTAAAAACATATATGCTGGGGAAAATTTTTGGCTCTGTCCACTGATATTTACTGAAGTCTCTGAAAGCATTAAAATAATTATTCTCTTTAACTTTTATACTCCTGAGTGAGCATGAAAACATTTGTTTCTTAAAAACCTTTGTTGGTTTTAGTTGAGTAGACTTCTTATTTTTGTGTACAAGGCTTTTTATATTCTGTTCCCAATCTAGCTGTTAGGTCACATATTTTTCCACTGCCTACACTCCTGGCCACAATGAAGTTTTTGCTATTCTTTCCACAGTGTGCAATGCACTGAATGTTTATGTCCTCCCCACCTCCACCCAATTCATATGTGAATCCTAATTCCCAATGTGACGATGGCATTATAAGGGGAGTCTCTGAGAGATGACTATGTCATAAGAGCGGAGCCCTCATAAATGGGCGTAGTGTCCTTATGACAGAGATCCCAGAGAGTTCCCGTGTCCCTTCTGCCATGTGAGGACACAGTGAGAAGACAAACACCTATGAACCAGGAGGTAGGACCTCATCAGACACCAACTCTGCTGGCGCCTTGATCTTGGCCTCCCAACATCCATAACTATCCTATATAATAAAAGACTAATATGCAAATCGACCAAATGGCAGAATGACTGGTCACTATGACGCGCACTGACCACCAGGGGACAGACAATGCAGGAGCTGCCCCCTGGTGGTCAGTGCACTCCCACAGGGGGAGCGTCGCTCAGCTGGGCTCATGGCTGGTGAGTGCAGCGGCGGTGGTGGGAGCCTCTCTCCTCTCCGCGCGGCAGCACTAAGGACATCCCCCAAGGGCTCCTGGACTGTGAGAGGGCTCAGACCGGGCTGAGGGACCCCCCTCCCCGAGTGCATGAATTTCGTGCACCGGGCCTCTAGTGAGAAATAATGTTTGCTGTCTAAGTCACCCATCCTATGGTATTTTTGTTATAGTGGCTAAACGGACTAAAACACCAAGTCAGCTCCTTTCCAAACCCTGTGCCCTTATGTATAGAATTCTAATGATCTCAGTCTGCTTTTTTTTCCTGGTAAGCTCCTATTCATTCTTCAAGATACAACTTAAATATCACCTCTTCTGATAATTCTTTAGCGACTTTTTAAAGGCAAAGTAAATTGTTACCATCTGTTGTATGACTGCTTTCCCAAATGGATAGTGAGATGCAGGACACCAGGGGTATTGTCTTACTAATCTTTGCATGCTCAGCACCTGGCTCGGAGTAGGAGCTTAATGAATGTTGGATGAATGAAAGAATGTCTTGATAGTCTGTTAGAAAGAGAGTTGTCTTCCCAATTAAATACAGCCATTAATAATTTTCCAGTAGCCATAAAATAATAGTGGGCAATAGTGAGGTTACCCCAACTTTTCAAGGCCTGCATAAGCATTTATGGATTAAATGAATAGCCAAATGATCCATAACTGCTTAGGAATAACTTTTAAAATAACTTTCTGTAATTCCTTGAGCATATAAAAATTTCTACATTTTATTTTTCTCTAGTGAGAACTGAACATTTAGAAAGCAATTTATAAACAGAAGCAACTTACTTTATTTCGATCTTGGACAACCAATATTTTTCTAGTACTTTCATCAAATACAGCTCCTATTGGGGGAAAAATAAAAGATAATTGAAAAATATTAATTTCATTCATCTTAGACTCCTCTCACACTCTTATCGGTGGCCATTAAAACCCTGCCCAACCTTGCAGACCTAATTCAATATCACCTCATCCATGAAGATGTACTCTCTCCAGCAAGAAGCTGGTGGCTTGGTTACCCAGGTTCTTGATAGTTCTAGCTACGCTGCCTAGTAGGATAATCATCTGCAGAACTTCTCCACCTTGTCTATTCCTGAGGGCACACAGTTAAATAAATTAATATTTCTATCCTTTTATAGTATTGATTTAGTGTCCAAACAATTTTAAGTGTTTATAAATATTTATTGAATTATTGAGTTGACTTTTCCATTCTCATTTTTATTCCTCACATCACTATGTATAGAACATGGGTTGTGGCCCCCGATGATCCAAATCTCAAACATGTCAATATTCAGTTCAAGACCTTCCTGAAGCCACCTAAATTTGTTTACCATGTATGTACACAGCTTTATAACATACCAGTATATTGCTTGGGGACACTTGTTTTATATATGTTTTAAGTTCTAGTCCATTCCTTTTATTTATTCATTCATGATATGCATGGCCCAGCACACTAAGTATTTGGCTAGGTGTTAGGACTCAAAAATATTTTTTTTCTATTTCTCTTTGGGCCATCCTGAGTCTTTATGATACTTTAATAATTTGTATTAGGTTCCTATAAATTCTATAATTTAAAAATATTTGTATTTACATAATGTGAGAAGATATTACTAAAAAGATATTTTCGATATTTCCATCCAGTCTTTCAATATTAACTGAGTTTCTATATATATCATGTATAGGTTTTATATATAGTATATGAATTGAGCTCCCAATATGTGTCAGGCACTTTTCTGAGTGATAGTGATAGGGATATGGTGAACAAAACAACATTCCCTATCCTCAATGGGGTTCACAAGGTGTGTGTGTGTGTTTGTGTATATCTGTGTAAGAGGAGATGGCAAACAAGTAAATTATATAGAACATGAGAAAGTGACACATGTTATCTGGAGATAAAATATAGAAGGGGTAGGTATGTGGAACACAGGAAGAGCACTTTTCTCTGAAATGAAAACATATTTTAGTATTTTTAAGCAATAAGGAAAACCACTGAGATATAATTAATATTAATGTTGGCTTCTATTAGAAAACGTAAACTATAATTTAATTGGACTTTACAAAGGATAGAATGCCAAAGACCAAGGAATCCTCCTCTTAAATTTTAATAATTTGTGATTACTCAATGAATTCACTATAAACATGAGCAAAATATTTCAGACAAACTGAGCAGTGCTAAAGCATAATGTGAGCGACCCCTGCTGACCACAATACAAAAGTTAAATATAAAGAGCTCAGAGCTTTAACAGGTTATTTAGTATATTATTGTCATTGGTCAGGAACTGTGCCAAGTGCTTTCTGTGCATTACCTCAGGTATTCCTCGCAATAACCTCATGAGTGGCAACATTTTGACTGTCCACGTTCAGGCTGCTCTAAGACTGACATCCAGTGGGCCTGGTTTGCAGCAGGCATTGTCATGGCAACACAGCCCCTTTACCACACTATAGCTGTGTTCTCAGAGGGTTTCCATCTAAAGATCTATCCAAACAGTCATTCAAGAAATAGTTACTGTGAACTGACTTTATACTAGACACTGTCTTTAACCTGAGGAGACAGTGGTGAACAAGAGATAAAATATCTGCCTTCATGGAGTTTATGTTATTGTGGGGGAAACTAAGTAAATGAAATAATATAATCACAGATTTCGATAAGTCCTGTAAAGGAAAACAGCTAGATAAAGGGACAAAGGATGATGGGACTGACATATGGGAGGACTCTTTTTTAGACATAAAGGCCAGGAGTTTTTTTGAGGAGGTATTTGAGCAGAAGACTCAGCTCTAAAGACCGAGATGAAGGTCTAGGGAAGAGCATTCAGGAAGAGAAGCCAATGGATTTAAAGGCTCTGAAAGGATGAAAGAATTTTCCTCTACCCACTTAGGTTCTGGATCTGGGGCCTTTGAATGGAATTGACAGAAAACAGATTAATGGAGAAAAATATACATTTTATTTGATGTTAATATTTTTATGTGGCCTGGAGTAGGAGTGGAGCACTTCATATAAAGAAAATCCCCAGAAAAGTAGTTACCATTTTAACAAAAAGAGATAAATTGTGGGTTTGGACTAGGGGAGGTAAATTATGGGAAAGGGGCTAGAAAGCATCTGGGGGAAAATAATAGAATACAAAGGTCATGTCAGTGTGTTTGTCCAGACTCCTCTCAGTGTCTACTCCCACCTCTGGTGATAAGAATGCTCTCCTCCTCCTGATACAAGAAACTTATGCTCTACTTTTAGGAAGAAAGGTGGCAAAGAACACTTCCTACATCTGCTGTTTCTCCATTGTCTTTAACTTAAAATACTAAAAGTATGACCCAAAGTGGCATATTCTAGGTCCTAATCCCCTTACCCAGCCACACCCACTGTTGTTGCTTAGAGCAACAAATGTCAACTATTTTCTCTTCACCTAAAAACTCTGTACGCTTCCAGACTATATTCTTACATTATCTCGTCCCCATCCCCCTAGCCACTTCAAATCCTACTTATTCAAGATTTTTGTCAGGTTCCAGAATCTCATTCCCCGAATTCTTGTGGTAGATCTTAATTCCAATATAAATTATAGTATGTAGATAGAAACAAGTCCTTTGTAGAACACTCTTTATGCACATAGTACCAATTCTGTAATAATAAGTGGAAACTCTTAGTCTGTACCAAGGAATGGATAATCATTTGTATAACTTTCTAATAAAGTCATCTAATGAAGGCTATCATCAAATTTTTCAAGTAGTCTTGTGAAGCAGAACCGAATGGAAAGTTTCTGAGTGCCTGTGCTTGAGACCATGGACAGAGAAAACATTGGACATCCTTGAATAACTCCTTTAAATGATTTCAAAGGTACAAGCTACCTTTAAAACCTCTTGTAAATTATATGAAGACAAATGAAATATCATTGATTACATTACCAATTCATATGTATTACTGCTTTCATTTACTTTAGGTCATGAGGATTCTTTACTATTTCAGTTTTTCTGAAAATCTAGGAATGTTCTTAACCCTGATTCTCAAAGAGAACAGCAGCAGCAGCAGCAGAGAACTTATTAGAGAAGCAAATTTTCAGTCCCCGGACCTTCTTAAAAAAAATTCTTGGGAGTCATTCCCAGCAACTGTTTTACAAGTTTTCTAGGTGATTATCCTGAACACCACAATTTGAGAGCCAAGTCTATGTCGCTGGCCATAGCCGGTTTGGTTCAATGGATAAGTGCTGGCCTGTGGGCCACAGGGTCCCAGGACAACCAATCGATGTGTTTCTTTCACATCGATGTTTCTCTCTCTCTGTCTCCCCCTCCCTCTCTCTCTCTCTCTCTCTCAAAAAAAAAAGTCTGTCTCTGAAGCTAATCAGCAACTTTGAAATTCTAGAATATATTTAAATTATGTTATTTTAAACTGTTTGGCACAATAACTAAATGTAAATGTCTTTAAGAAGTAATGTTCAAACCATTAAAAAGCTGGTTTGCTTTATCTTAAATTCAACCTATGTTATCTTTTATTCTACAAATTTACATAATTAGTACTAATATGTTTTACCATAATGAATTTATTCCCTGGTCCCCATTCAGTGTTACTCTTTGAGTAGTGAAGTTCACACGGGTGTGAAACATGTTCAAACGCTTCCTGTGGAAAACTAAACACTGAACTTGCTTGTGCTCAGAGCTGCCACGTGCTGTTTCACAGGGCAGATTTCCTCTATTCAAAGCACTAGTAGTCCCAAGGATAATCATTTCAACAAAATTTTCCACGAGGATACACCATCGCTCAAGCTGTACGAAGTAATAAATTGGGGGAACCTTTAAAAAGTTAATGCTTGGGGGCATGAGTGGGGGGATGGGGGTAACGTGGGGATAAGGACACATATGTAATATCTTAAACAATAAGAAATATATATTTATAAAAAAAAAGTTAATGCTGACGATCTTGAGTTAGAAACTGACCCGCAACTCCCACTTGATGTGTCGCATATCCTGGGAGTCTGCTGGGCCCTTGTCCCAGCCACAGGGTCAGCGTGGAAGAGTCCGCTTCCGCGTGGTGAAAGCAGAAGCCCAGGGCGGCGGCCGGGGCAATGAAGCGGCTCTGCAGGATGGGCACGTGCAGCCAGACCGCCGCTCTGCCTTCCGATCGCCACTGCTGTATGGCAGCTAAAATGGAGAAGATAAAATAGTGTCAGTGGTTGCCAGTGAGAGGAACGAAATAAATTCAAACCATCTTAGGGTGTCACCTCCTCCAGGGAGCCATTTTAAGCATCCACTTCCCTTACTAGTTAGCTATGGGGGGTTGGGGGTGGGGGTGGGGATCCCAAAATGTCCTGGTAACAGCAGCAGCACGGGAACTACCATGTTTCATTATCATGACGACCTTGTTTATGTGATTCTCCCACCAGACCGAATTCCTTGTGAATAGGCAGTACAGTGATGACCTTTATATTCATATCACCAGAGACAATGCTTGGCACATAATTGATGATCAATAGTTGTAGAATGAACAACAACAAAACTGACTTAAAATGCCATTTTAATGTTCCTTTTAACACCTACGTTTTAATCTTTTTTTTGAGAATAAAATTACCTTTTTAAAAAAATTTCCAAGTAATGTAGAGCCGGGGGAGAACATGACAAAAATTAAGATCAGTTCCCTCCCAAAGGGTCCATGGGTCTCTGTATTCTCAGCAGCAGGGCCTCAGGCGGGCCCATGTTGCCATGGCAACTGGAAGGCCTGTCACAAGTCTTAATCTTTATAAATGAGTATTATGGGCTTCTATTTACTCTTTAAGAGTTCTTTTGTCATTTAATTTTTTTTAATTTATAAACTTCAAGATGATAAAATATAACTTTTTAAATAAAGCATGCAAGTTCTAGGAAGTTCTGTAGTCAGTGTGGCTAACACAGTGACACACACAGGGTGCATATGATCCTCAGGGACTTTGGTTTTTCTTTATAGGAAATGCTATTCAGTTTTGTTTTACTCAATAACAGTAGAACCAGCAGTAGCTCTAGGAAGCAGTTCAGTGCAATAAGAATAGATTCCAGAGCCCGGGGAAGTTAGAATCTCTCTGTGCCTCAGTACCATCATCTTTAAAGTGAAGATAATATTGTACCTACCTCCCACGGCTGTTAGAGGAGTAAGTAAATTAATATTTGTAAAGTTCTTAAAACAGTGTCTAGCACTTAAAGTAAGTGCAATAGAACTTATTTTAAAAATAAAAAGTATATGGTACTGCCTAACTGGTTTGGCTCAGTGGATAGAGCGTCGGCCTGTGGACTCAAGGGTCCCAGGTTCGATTCCGGTCAAGGGCATGTACCTTGGTTGCGGGCACATACCCAGTAGGGAATGTGCAGGAGGCAGCTGATCGATGTTTCTCTCTCATCGATGTTTCTGACTCTCTATCCCTCTCCCTTCCTCTCTGTAAGAAATCAATAAAATATATTTTTTAAAAAGTATATGGTACTTCTGAGTTTATAAATAAGTTTCATATAATTTATCTTTGATCACCACATCTATCCAGTAACTTGGGCTGGCATTATTCACATAAGCAACCTATGGGGCTAGTATTTTCCATGGTGAAAGGCCTACATGCCTGCGGAAGCATGTGGCAGGGCCTGGAACTTGAAACCTGGGTGTGTGACTCCAAAGCCAGCCCCCTTCCTGCTTCGCCTGCTGAGGGCACCTGAGCTTCACCTGTTGGGTCACTGACAATTGACAAGTGTGTGCAGTAAGTACCTGTATCTGCCCACACATATGTACACCTTCTAGGGAATGAACATCGACTCTTCTACTGGTGGTACTGCTGGAGTCGGCGATTATTCACAAGCAGGAGAGAAAACGAGAAGTAGTTTGGGAATAAAGATGATTAAAGAAAGAAATAGGAGCACTTGAGATCTTGCTCCCAGACAGAGTCAGTTTGGCTCAAATAAACTCCTATAGAAATTCTCAAAAAGCAAAAACGCAGCTCGATTACATCGACATGGATGCTCACTTGCTATATTGCTCAACAGGACAGATTATTTGGAGCTCCCGCTAGGAGAGGCTCTTCCCCCGGCTGCATTTGAAGTATGGTAGCAATCATCTCAGGTAGAAACTATAGTTTAACTTTAACCCCGCTGTTTGGCTTCTGTACTTATTTGCTTTGTTTAACAATAGAAAAGTTATTTTGATTTTCTGAATTATATAAATTATCTCATTGGTTGTGGTCATACTGGTTTTAGAAAGCACATTTTCCTTTGCCTGGGAAGGACAGCACAATTATCCCAAGGTCAGAGGGCTCCAGTTAACGTGTCCCTGTTGACTCAGTGTTCCCGGAGACCCAAAACTGTAATTTAGATAACATGCTTAAGTCTGACCAGGTTCCTCATTCCAGACCCGAGGGCTCTAGATAATGTGTTTCTGTCAATTCAGTGGTCTCAAGACCCGAGGGCTTTAGATAATGTGTTCCTGGCAACTCTGTGATCCAGAGACCCACAACTATAATTAACATGCTGCTTCTGCTTCTGTAAACTGCTTTTTTGCAAACCAGGTTCCTCATTCCAAACTTTGAGATGTAATCAATACCTTTGTGATCTTTGCCTATATAAGTCTGGTTTTGCCCCCATCTTATCACTATGAGATTTGGGGAATGGCCCCTCATAGTCCCGGATTGCAATAAATGTGACTCTTTAATTCGACTTCTTGAGGCGTCCTTCTGTGATTCGCGGGGTACATTACAACACATTTCCATGGTCTACCTTCAATCTGATGACAAGGAGCCTCAGGGCCGTTTGGAAAACTGGCTGCTCACCAAATTAAGGCTTCTCCCAAAGTGAAGAAGGCTCCTCCTTCCAAGCTTTCCTCCTTATCACTGCGCTCAAGGTTAAGAGAATGGGGAGTTTTCTCACTGAAGAGGAGCCACCCCACGCCCTCCCTGATTAATCGCAACAGCTTTGTCCTCTGTGAAGCACAGGCAAACGCTAGTCGCTGACGCCGCAGCCCCCGATCCGATTTGAGTGCAAATATGACCACTGGGAACCTCTGGTCCGCTCACTGTCCACCACGTGTACGGGAGTCGGGGCAAAGCGCCTGGCAGGACAGTGAATAGTAAAGTGACGATCCTGACAAGACCGCGAACTATGGACGACACCTTGCGAAGCACGTCCTGTTCTGGATCCAACTTAACCCTCAGCGACCCCAGGCGCAGCCATGACCCGGTTTTACCAAAGAGGAAATGGAGGTTTACGGGACCTGCCCAAGGTGAAGGTCACACGCTAGAAGGTGGGCCAGAAACTCGGGCTGCTGATCCCAGAGCCTGTGACCGTCACCACTGCCCCCCCAACCGTCCCGGAGACCTCCCAGCAAAGGGCCGGGGAACCAGGGAGGCGGGACCGATCACGCGCGCCCTCCAGGCTCGGTGCCCGACAGGCGGAGGCGTGTGGGTCTCGGTGACTTCGACGCGAGCCGGGGAGCCCGGGACCCTCGGCCCAGGCACTTGCCATGGAGGCCCCTCTGGAAGGCGGCGGCGTCCAGGCGATCCAGGGCGCCCAGCCGCACCGAGACGCCCCCGAATCGGTCCACTTCGCCCCGCAGCCAGCTGGCTTCGGCGGGGGAGTCCCGCGCACCACTTAAGCCGCCCGAGGCCCTGCGGGACGCAGCCGAGAGCTCGGCGCCTCGGGCCCGGACCAGCAGCGCGCGCAGGTAGCCCCAGCTCCGCAGAGGTAACATCCCCGCGCCGGCCCTCGCGCGCCGCTTGCTTCGCCCTCAAAGCGCCCCGCCCACGCGCCGCTCGCCTCGCCCCCAAAGCGCCCCGCCCAGGCGCTACCGTAAAGCCTAGAAGAGACCCGCACGCGCTCCGCAGAGTGGAGCTGGGCTTACCACTTTGCAGCGCTCTACCCAGGAGACCTCGAAGTCCTGTCCACCGGCTCCTCTCAGGAGTGTGCCCGGCTCCAGGAAAACGGGGAGAAACTTTCCCTCGATTAGTCCCCTCCCCACAATAGTTTAATTCAACGCACCTATATTCAGGGATGGGGAAGACGAATGGGTTACGAAAAAGTCCTGTGTTTCAGGAATGTACAATCTAAGGGACGCTTCCATCCACCTAATCCGTTTTCCTTTACAGAAAAGCCTCTCCGACCTCTTCAAAGCCCTCAGATTCTGAAGACGGTTGGTTTCCCAGCCTCACATTTGCGCTTCACTCCGGGAATTTCGGCGCGGGGGGGCGGGGGGGGCGGAGCCTCGCTGACTTCTGCCCCGGAAGTTTTTCCCACAGTAAAGCGCGCACGTTGAGCCGGCTTCACTGCTTCAGCTTCCAGGC